CTATTCTCTAAACCGATTGACGATGCCTCGCATTATTTCCATGAGAGTGCGACGAATGGGTCCCATCTTCCAGCAGTATATAACAGGGTTCAAAGACGAGTTGAGGAAAACCAAAGTCACTACATAGGGCCAAGCTTCGTTTAAAGAGATTAACCTTAAAAGAGGAGCCAGGGGAAAAAAAAGGAGAATATAGGTAGGCAAGTAACAAATCAAGAACACAACAAATACATGAAATGTTCCAAGAGCTGACTTTCTAAGCTTCAAAAAGTTTGATAAGTCGCCATTTTGAACTCCCTGTTGTACTTCTTGGATTTGAAGGCCTTGAATCTGGATTTTGTGTCGCTTTAAGACTATATAAATCCTCCAGTAGATAATTGCCACCAGAATGAGGCAAACAGTCATGTTCACGACCCTTATGACTCGTGAGATGAAAAAAGATGGATCCCAAAAGACACTAGAAGAAATAATTATGCTTAACAGCCATATTGATATCACGGCGGCAATGACGCGCTTGCGAGTCACAAGCTCTTGATATCTGAGATGAAGGTGAACAGCTAAGAACCTGTCCACACTGATAGTTACAACATTTAAGAGCGAAGATGCGCAAAAGAAATTGATAACGACGTACAACCCCTTGTAGGAAATGCAGTCGATACGCGTTGGTTTCAAACCGCTGACCATAGTGGAAATGTAGAGTGGTTGGACCAACAAACCAACGCCAACATCAGAGGCAGCCAGGCTCAGTAATAATGTTCTCAAAGGTTTTGGCAACAACGCGGTTTTCCTTATCGCATGGATGGTTACGATATTCAAAATGATGGTTGTATAACACAAAAAGCTGTTGAAGACACAATTAGCGACAAGTGCCGGACGAAAATGTCCAACATCCGCAGAGGTTCCATAGAAAAACTCGTTGAGAATGTCGCAAACGTTTTCCGCCATGAGAGCTGAGCGTGAAACTAATATTTTCCGGTTCTAAAAGGGAAAATTTTAAGTAATATGTAGCTGTCAATCACAAGCATATAACACAATTTAAGCCATCTGTACGTACATTCAAGATGTCTTCAACTCTGGCATGTGAATTTTTGAAAAATGCATCGAGTATCGCTTTAACTCGGCGTTGGTTAAAACTAAAACAAACTATTTGTTTAATACTTCAAGACATTTTAACTAAACATGGGATTTCTACCTGAAAAAAGTCATTTGAAGGAAAGCTGTCGTTAACATATTTTTCATCTGTCAAAATGAATATACGAAACATTATAGTCAGTTAAATTAAAGGACGCTTGACATATGTTTTTGTTATTAAATTTGCCTGAATACACTGAATTCATCTTCAGAGACCGAGCATTTTATGGTTGATGAGGGGTGGGGAGAGAGACCAGAATAATTATTACGAATAAATTACGCACTTGTTTGTGGCGGATCTAGGTGGTAATCAGAATGTTTAGCAAACCTATTAAACTGAGATAATACCGGCATATTTTTCAATCGTTTTACAGTAGCTCAGGAATATTTTCCAGTAGTGGATTATTACAGATAGCCCTCCCCCCTTAGAGACGCCGACCGCGTTCGGCTCTTTCTTTGATCACCTCTTCACAAGTCCCAGATCCACTTCAGTTCATAAACAGCTGCATTTAGCTCAGAAAAAGTTTAGCAATGGCCATGTAATATTTTGATATATTTCAACCCAAAAAAATACAGATAAGACATTTTATCAAACAATAATTCTGCATCAAGCGCGTAAACAAAAGAAATAGGGGAAGTTTGACTATTGTTTTTGCTGACGGCAGACGTAAATTAAAAATGATGGCTGGCTTTTTTGTGACATCAATAGATGTAAATTAAGTGTGAAAAATGCAATATTGTGTTTAGAATATGAAAGACTTTAGCCTGTTAGGCTCAGAAAGTAAAGAAGGAATGAAAAACAACGAGTCGACAAATGACAGGACTTTAAATTTATTTCGTCCAAAGGTAAAGAGTAGTTTGCAAATGAGCGGTGTCAAAGACAGTCAGGGATTGTATTAGTTTCTCTTTAAAACCGTAAAGTGATTGGTGGAGAATTTTGCTCCATCTGTCAGCTACTCCGAAGCAATTAGAGCCCGTCGCGACTTTACTAATAGATAGAGAAAATGATTTTTCTTAATTTTTCTCTCTAAATCATCTGCTGGTTAAAGTTTGTCCACTATTGCAAATAGAGAATGTTGAATTCAGGTTGTATTGAAAAAAGCAGAACCCAAACAATTCAGCGCTTATCTGAATCTTGTGCCATTATACTAGACGAAAAGTGTAATGTGGTGCTATGCATTATGCAACCGTCGGGCTAGGTGACCGACTCCGAGAACACCTTCGCGACATACAAAGAAATGACAAGGACGCATCCAAACCAGTCGCTAAACACTTTAATCTCCCTACTTATTCTATGCAGCACATGGCAGTTTCCGGCCTTTCCCTAAATTTAGGCACTTCAGAAAGCCGCAAAACACTAGAACAAAAATTTATCTTCCAAATCGGCACTCTTATATATATAAATATACACAAACAAATAAATGCCAGAATTAACATGAAATAAGAATTAAATGAAAGAGGTTAAAATAAATTGTTTCTTTAAGCAGCGTTTGAATTCTGTCAATATCCTTTTCCACTTGAGTGACAGGTCTAAGGAATTGCAAAGTTTGACGTTCCTAAAACAAATTGTTCTTTGCCTTGTGGTAGATCTGTACAGGGAGATCTAAGGAATCTGGGCATTCCTTGTCGATCGGTTAGTGACAACTTACTTAAGTGAGAATTTCCAAAAGTGCATTAAGTTTATGCATCATTAATTTTTCTTATAATGGCAAAGAAAACTAAAGTGGGTCTGAGCGCGTGATTCGCATTATGGATGTCTGTTGTCTAACTCTAACCAGCCTCTTCCTGGGAGCGAGGTTGGAGTCGGATGTCATGCTTTGTACATAGCCAGCTGGTCTTCCACCGACTGGAGTTACTAAGAAGCTGCGTCATGTAATTTGAGATCTCTTCAGCTCCAAAGGGAATCATCTTTTTTAAAAATAAGTATTCGTTTGCTCTGGTAGACAAACACTAAAAAAGTTTCAACATAACAAAAAAAACTGAGGATAAACAAGAACAGCGGTGATTGGCGCAGGGTAAAATTAAAAAAGATAAAAATTAAGGCTAAAATTTTCAAAACGGACTAACCGTCTGAGTGAAAGGCGTAGAGCTCCTTGTATTTTTTTTAATTAGCATAAAATGTATAACCTTCTGTCTTTGCCTAAGTAAATAAGTGCCCGGGTTACTATTGACAAGGTTGAGACTTTTAGTCGAATGGACAACCATCAATTCCAGTCGACTTAACATTATTCTTTATATCAGAAACCGCACAACTGAATTCTGGAAGTCTATGTGTGATCGCAAGTAAGTAACGGTTTTATTAAAAGAGGGTTACTTTTAACTGTAGTAAAAACACTGATGAACTCGTGGCCCTTATTACACTATAAAGCGACCTAAAAATCGGTTTTGTATTTATTTCACAAGCTATACACTTTACAAGGTTAATGATTTATCATCCTATTGACAATTAAAAATACATACGTCAAATGATGACATAACTTTGAAATAATACTTCAAGTAGCTAGGAAACTTTCTGGTTATTTATAAATTTCTCATACAAAAACTAACAACTGATGCTTTCCTATAACTGACTCTATAGTACCTCATTGTGTAGTTTTCCTAAACGTTAAAGTTCATCCTCCCTCAATTTTCCTGAAGCACTTTCGACAGATCAAGTTTAATTGGCATCAGAAACGAACCCAACCAATGTGTTACGATTTAATCTAACCGATAGAAAAACACTACAATCCAACAAACTCAACTACTTTATTACACAACGAGTGATATTCTTAATAAGGAGCGACTCTTAAAGGCAGTACAGTACTTATGCTCCATAAACTTACTTAAGCCCACTACAGCCTATATCGTAGCTCGCCACTGAGCAGAACACACAGTTTCCTCCGTTTGTTGTTATTAACAATCTTCCACTGTAGCTCTCTCTCACGATATAGATTTCTAAACAGTCGGTCACTCTCGAAAACAACAACAACAACAACTACTACTACATAACTGAGTCTTTATATACATTCACAAAAGAACTATCTTAATGGTATTACGTAATAATTGCGTGACTTGATCAAATGTTTTAGAGAGTTCTATGGTACGGATGTCAGCATGATTAAGCAGTCTGGAGATTTCTAGAAGCTTCTATCGACAATAACAATTATTCATAACAAATGCTATTCTCTAAATCGATTGACGATGCCTCGCATTATGTCCATGAGAGTGCGACGAATGGGTCCCATCTTCCAGCAGTATATAACAGAGTTCAAAGACGAGTTGAGGAAAACCAAAGTCGTTGTATAGAGCGAAGCTTCGTAGAGAGAGATTGGACTTAAAAGGCGAGCCATTTGTAAAAAAGAGAGAATATAAGAAGGCAAATAACAAATCATGAACACAATACATACATAAAATGTTCCAAGAGCTGACTTTCGAAGCTTCAAAAAGTTTGATAAGTCGCCATTTTGAACTCCCTGTTGTACTTCTTGGATTTGAAGGCCTTGAATCTGGTTTTTGTGTCGCTTTAAGACTATATAAATCCTCCAGTAGACAATTACCACTGTAATGAGGCAAACAGTTATGTTCACGAACCATACGACTTGTGAGATGATAAGCAGTGAATCGTAAAAGGCACTAGAAGAAATAATTGTGCTAAACAGCCATATTGATATCACCGCTGCAATCACGCGCTTGTGAGTCACAAGCTCTTGATATCTGAGATGAAGGTGAACAGCTAAGAACCTATCCACACTTATGGTTACAACATTCAAGAGCGAAGATATACAAAAGAAATTGATAGCGGCCAACAATTTCTTGTAGGAAATGCAGTCGATACGTTTTTTGATTTAACCGGCTGACCAAAGTAGAAATGTAGAGCGGTTGGACCAACAAACCAACGCCAACATCGGAGGCAGCCAGGCTCAGTAATAATGTTCTCAAAGGTTTTGGCAACAACGCGGTTTTCCTTATCGCATGGATGGTAACGATGTTCAAAGTGATGGTTGTATAGGACAAAAAGCTGTTGAAGACACAATTAGCGACCAGTACCGGACGAAAATCTTCAACATCCGCAGAGTTTCCAAAGAAAAGCTCGTTGAGATGGTCGCACTCGTTTTCAGCCATGAGATCTGAGCGTTAAAACTACTGTGGCCCTTACATTTTCCGTTTCTAAAAATGAAAAATTTTAAGTCATATGTAGATGTCAGTCACGAGCACAAAACACCATCGAAGCCATCTGTATGTACATTCAAGATGTCGTCATCTCTGCTATATGAATTTTTGAAAAAAGCATCGAGTATCGCTTTAACTCGGCGTTAGTTAGAACTAAAACAAATAATCTGTTTAATGCTTCAAGACATCTTAACTAAACATGGCATTTACGCCTGGAAAAAATTTATTTGGAGGACGGCTGTCATTGACATATCTTTCACCTATCAAAATGAATATACGAAACATTATAGTCAGTTAAATTAAAAAGTGTTTGACATGTGCTTCTTAATTATTAAATTCGTCTGGATACACTGAATTCATCTTCAGAGACCGAACATTTTATGGTTGATGAGGGGTGGGGAGAGAGACATAAATAATTATTACAAATAAATTACGCACTCGTTTGTGGCGGATCTAGGAGGTAATCAGAATGTTCGGCAACCTTACTAAACTAAGATAATACCGGCATATTTTTCAGTCGTTTTAGGGTAGCTTGTGAATATTTTCCGGTGGTGTATACAGATACAGATACAGATAGCCGCCCCCCTCCCCTTATAGACGACCGCGTTCGGCTCTCACTTTGACAAATCTCCAGGCAAATCTTGGATCCACTTCAGTTCATGAACAGCTGCACCTAGCTGAGGAAAAGTTTAGCAATGGCCATGTTATATTTTTACATCTTTCAACCGAAAGAAGTACAGCTAAGACATTTTATCAAACAATAATCATGCATCAAGTACTAAGACGAAACGAATACAGGAAGTTTGTTCATGTTGACGGCAGATGTAAATTAAAAATGAGGGCTGGCTTTTTTGTGACATCAATACATGTAAATTAAGTGTGAAAAATGCAATATTGTGTTTAGAATATGAAAGACTTTAGCCTGTTAGAGTCTGTAAGTAAAGAAAGAATAAAGAAAACAACGAATCGGCAAATGACAGGACTATAAATTTATTTTGTCTAGAAGTGAAAAGAAGTCTGCAAATGAGCGCTGTCAGGAATTGTAATAGTTTCGGTTTACATCTTAAAATGATTGGTCAAGAGTTTTCCTTCACCTGTCAGCTACTCGGTAGAAAATTAAAGCCAGTCGCCACTTTACTAATTAGTGAACAAAATGATTTTCTTAATTTTTTCCCTCTAAATAATCTGCCGGATGAAGTTTGTCCACTATTGCAAATAGAGAATCTCGAATTCAGGTTGTATTGAAAAAGGCAGAACCCTAAAAATTGTGTGGATAAGTCAGAATACTACATCTAAATCTTGTGTCATTATACTTGATGAAGACTGTTGTTATGCAACCATATATATGTTTGCAATCATATGAATGCAAATGGTAATGTTTGCAATTAGGTGAGGAGGGATTCCTACCTTTAGCCCGTGAATAAGACGCATTCAAATGAAGGGTGCTGAGTTTTTTTAAATATACTGTCCTAGGTGATTCTAGCTTGGTGTGGATGACAATCTAGTGTTTGATCATTTGAATGAAAGCTAAAACGTAGTACTTTAATGAGGTAAAGTTTGTTATCCGGTACATGGTGGTTCTGGCTCATATAACATCTTATGTTATGAGTATTCAAATAAAAGCTTTTTATCACATAAACTGCGGTGTTATACAGGGATTTCCGGCTCCGAGAAAAGCCGTAACAATACAAGTGAAAAAATATCGTATTTTTTCACGTCTGTTGATATAGCCAATCAGCTGCTGACACGTCACTCGCCTTTGGCGCCACTCGGTCAGGTTGATGAATGAACGGCAAAGCCTACACGATTTCTCAATACAAGTTGTTTGTCGGAGCTTTCTCGAATTATGGCGACTAAAACACTAAAAACTCCGTATCGCTGACGGACGGTGAGGTTCAAACTTCTCTAGAAGGGGAAGAAAACCAATCTTCAAAAAGAAACCGAAAGTTACGTATTCAGTGGCTTTGGTGTTGGCATTTCTCTCGGGTGAGAATGAAAATCGACAGCTGGAAGATTTGCCACTGGCCGATTTTGGCCGTTTACCTGAAAGACTTCTTTTGTCGGTAGGGACAAAGTCAAAAATGAGAATTTTGTAAATTGAAAATTACCACCATTGTTTTTTTTGTAATCATGGTTCAACGCATTTTTCCATCTTACTGAGTGAGCGCCAACGCACTTTACGATTGTTATTCGGGGATTGTCGACTCATTTATTTTCATTCATTAATGAAGTCGGCTTTTCTTCTCAGTAAAGGGCTACTGTATTTATATGATAAACAAAATAATACATGGTTGCTTATAGATATGGAATTTCTCTTCTCGTATTCAACACGGCATCTTACTCGTTAGCTGCGCTCACTCGTGAACTATCGAGTTAAACACTCGTAGAGAAATTCCATATCTACGCGCGCCCATGTATTATTCTATATATGTTATGAGTATCCAAATAAAAGCTTTTTAGCAGTACTTCCATGTTTACTGTTTATTAAGAACCACTAATTAATTCTAAATGTAAAGTCTCTTGATGAAACACTAGCGTTTGACCATTCCAATGAAGGCAATCAAGAAGTATTTTCATGTGTTTCAGTTTATTATATTCTTCAAGTGGTTTTAACCACAAACCTTTGAGTTTAACGGGCCGTACAGTGATATACAGCCTGCTAAATTGACCAATCATATTCCACGTTCTAATCGAGGGATATAGTAATGTTAGTTATCTAGAGCGGAGCGTAACGGTTTAGCTCTTATGTTTGTGGACGAAACAGTTACGCGTTACAAGTTTTTGTAAGAAATACTTTATAGATACACTCAAAATTGTTTCACGAATTTGTGCAAAAAAATATTTGTCTCACTTCTCCCTTTCATCCTCTTTTTCTTTCAGGAAGGACTGAGCTCTCATCTTCATTTCCACAAACTTTAAGGAGAGGTTATGTTTAAATCGAACCCAGCCAATACCACTGTAAGCTTTTGTGTTCCAAATGAACTGTCCGTTTAAATTGGAGTTGTGACAATCGTTAAACCACCATCCCCCGGTTAGGTCATTTGAGCAGCTTCCCGTCTTCCACATGTCGTTTTCCCTGTCTCTGGTGCTGAACATCATGTTGTTATGGTACCTCAACGAATCCCCGTATGTACCATTGTAACCGATGACCGTGATCTTGTAACTGTTTTTTTCGTTGTCTACCTTGAACACGTCGTAATGAGCGAAAACTCTCTTTCCACTCCAATCCTCCAGCTCGATTCGCAGCGACGTCTCATTTGCTGTGGTGATACGATAAATTTTGTCGTTTCCCAGCCAGAAATTCTTTCTAAGGTCTCCGAAGCCTGATCTATAGTCATTCCAATTGCGATGGAAGCTGACAGATGCATCCTGTCGCCTTTGGAACACGATCCATCCTCCGCTGTCCGTCTGCAGGTCGCAATACACCTTAAACTCTGTTTTTCTGTCAGGGTTGATGGTATAAACACCACTAGTGTTGTAGCCAGCATAAAGGATATCATCGCACCCTCTCGCTACATAAAACAAGAATCGAATTATGTGCTTAGTGCCGAGAGGTAGGGCCAGACGAAAATATTTAGCTTGAGGTCATAACGAACGGAGTGAGCGCAGAAAGGTCAGTGCATCATGACCATGCGGCAAAGTGATAAAGATGGGGGCTAATTTGTCATTTTGATAAAGGGGCGAACTCTTCTTGATGGGGGCGAACTGGAAGGCGACGAACTTGCAATGGAGCGACACCTCTGTGAACCACACTGTCTACTAAAGGGTATGGAGTAATCGTGAAATAACGACAGCGCACTTACGAGGTCTGTTAATTGCAGAAAGAGTTAAGGCTTCAACTTTCAAGGAGTTCAATTGCATTGCCATCGCTATGCTTGAGTGGCAGACTTTCCGACTTTTTCTGGGGGGGAGGGGTCGGAGGGGTATTGTTACACAAAGCCTTCTTTGCATCTCTTTTTTTACACTTCCAAAGTCTCCAAGTTATAAAAGGCGACAACAAAGGAAATATATAGGAGACCACTTACTATGTGCAGGCTAACACACAGCTTCTGACAAGAATCCGAACAGCATTTTATTTCACCAAAAAAATCTGAATCCAAACTACACTCGTCATCAGTCTCATTTCCGCAATCTTCGACCGGGAGAGGAATTGGGCAAATGCCTTCCTTCAAACCCTCTAAAAATGAATAAGTAGTTTTTAAAAGGCTTCCTTAAACTAAGCCAAGAATCTTAAAGATGGTCATTTGCAATAGGCGCAAATCTGCGCAACCCGCAAACACACTGAGAAATGTTAGGTTCATCTTTTCCGTTTGGTTGTTTTTCTATCTTGCTTAACATATATTTTGGTTAAGGACGGTAAGTTTCTTAAGAAACTGTGGTGCTGCGTCGGTGGGAGAGTATAACAGGGTAATTTAGTATTATCAACTGAGTTAATAACGTAAACTGGCCACCGTAAAGAGTTTTAAAGCTGACGTTTCGAAATACCTGTGCATAGTTGAATTAAGATGGTGTTGAAAATTCTGCCTGACAACAAAAACTGAATCATGGAAAAAGCGATCGAAATGAATCAAACGAATTCGACTAAAGGATTACAGATGGCCTTGTAATAAAAGTAAGGCGCTAAGAAATTTTATTACGAGACATCCCAATGATTACTATAATTCCTATTATACGTAAAATTCAGATGAGTATTGCTTGCTACACGAGTGGATATGAAATTGCTTATGAGGTACATCTTTGATCAAATCTCACCAGACATAGTGATAGATTAGAGATGACGTCATCATTTATGTAACGTCATGTGATCTATTACTGTACAGACTCACGGAAACATGGAACCCATTTGTGTTATTTGATAAAAAAAGAAAAAACTTGTTCATGGTGACGTCATCTTTGTGTCCGTCCTCTAGTAAGTAATAAGTAAGAGCCATGGTGCGTGACGTATTCAGCTTGCTATATCAACAAAATTGGAGAAACGAGAGTTATGCAGGTGAGATAAACAGCTCTCAAAGGAAAACAAAAGGCAATTTCCAATAGAAATAAAACGTCCCACTTACTCTGCATTACAGCGATATCCACTTCCAACTTAAAAAAAATGTGAAAATTGAGGCTAAATTTTTCAAAACCAATTAACTGTCTGACTAAAGGCGTAGAGCTCCTTGTACTTTGTTAAGGCTTCCACTTTCAAGGAGTTCAATTGCATTGCCTTAATATAATTCTTTATATCAGAAACCGCACAACTGAATTCTGGAAGTCTATGTGTGATTGCAAGCAAGTAAAAGTTATATTCAAAGCGGGTTATATTTAACTGTAGTAAAAACACTGATGAACTCGTGGCCCTTATTACACTATAAAGCGACCTTAAAATCGGTTTTGTATTTAATTCACAAGCTATTCACTTCACAAGGTAAAAAATTTACTATCCTATCGACAAGTACAAATACATACATTAATTGATGACAACCTTAAAATCATATTTCAAGTGATGAGGAAGCTTTCTGGTCATTTATAAATTTCTCATACAAGATGCGCTTGAAACTAGCAACTGATGCTTTCTTAAGCTTGACTCTGTAGCACCTCATTGTGTAGTCTTTCTATAACCGTTAAAGTTCGTCCTCCCTCAGTTTTCCTTAAGCACTTTCGACAAATCAAATCTAATTTGATGGTGGCCGAGGCTCTTATCCCATGCATTGTGAATTGGCATCAGAAACGAACCCAATCAATGTGTTACGGTATAATCAAATCGACAGAAAAACACTATAATCCTACAAACTCAACTACTTTATCAAACAAAGAGTGATATTCTTAATAAGGAGCGACTCTTAAAGAAAACATCAGTAGTTCTTATGCTCCATAAACTTACTTAAGCCTACTAAAGTCTATATCTTAGCTCGCCACAGAGCAAAACTCACAGTTTCCTCCAACGTTTCTTGAAATTAGCAACCTTCCACTGTAGCTCTCTCTCTCGGTATAGCTTTCTGAACAGTCGGTCACTCCCGACAACAAAAATTACTACTACTATTACATAACTGGGTCCTTATATACATTCACAAGTGCTCTGGAACATTCCAGAAGCTTACAAAAGAACTATTTCAGTAATATTACGCAATAATTGCGTGACTTGATGAATGTTCTAGAAAGTTCTATTGTACTCATGTCAGCATGACTAAGCAGTCTGGACATTTCTAGAAGCTTATATTTACAACAACAATTACTCATAACAAATGCTATTCTCTGAAGCGATTGAGGATGCCTGGCATTATGTCCATGAGAGTGCGACGAATGGATCTCATCTTCCAACAGTATATAACAGGGTTCAAAGACGAGTTGAGGAAAAAGAAAGTCGTTGTATACAGCCAAGCTTCGTATAAAGAGATTAGATTTAAAGAGCGAGAAAGGAGTAAAAAAGAGAGAACATAGGAAGGCAAGAAACAAATCAAGAACACAATAAATACATAAAATGTTCCATGAGCTGACTTTCTAACCTTTGAAAACCTAGATAAGTCGCCATTTTGAACTCCCTGTTGTACTTCTGAGATTTGAAGGCTTTGAATCTGGTTTTTGTGTCGCTTTAAGATTATATAAATCCTCCAGTAGACAGTTACGACTACAATAAGGCAAACAGTCATAATCACGAGCCATATGATTAGCGAGATGATAGACAATGAATCCCAAAAGACACTAGAAGAAATAATTGCGCTAAACAGCCATATTGATATCACTGCTGCAATCACGCGCTTGTGAGTCACAAGCTCTTGATATCTGAGATGAAGATGAACAGCTAAGAACCTATCCACACTTATGGTTACAACATTGAAGAGCGAAGATGCACAAAAGAAATTCATAACGGCCATCAATCCCTTGAAGGAAATGGGGTCGATACGGCTTCGTTTTAACCAGCTGACTAGAATAGAAATAAAGAGCGGCTGTGCCAACAAACCAACGCCAACATCGGAGGCAGCCAGGCTCAGTAATAATGTTCTCAAAGGTTTTGGCAACAACGCGGTTTTCCTTATCGCATGGATGGTAAGGATGTTCAAAATGATTGTTGTATAACTCAAAAAACTGTTGAAGACACAATTAGCGACAAGTGACGGACGAAAACCTTCGACATCCGCAGAGTTTCCAAAGAAAGACTCGTTGAGAAGGTCGCTAACGTTTTTCGCCATGAGAGCTGAGCGTTAAAACTACAGTGGCTCTGATATTTTCCAATTCTAAAACGGAAATTTTTAAGTCATATGTAGCTGTCAATCACGAGCACAAAACACAGTCGAAGCCATCTGTACGAACAGTCAAGATGTCTTCAACTCCGGCATTTGAATTTTTGAAAAAAGCATCGAGTATCGCTTTCACTCGGTGTTAGTTAGAACTAAAACAAATGATCTGTTTAATGCTTCAAGACATTCCAACTAAACATGGGATTTACACTTGGAAGAAGTTATTTGAAGGAAAGCTGTCATTAACATATTTTTTTTATCTATCAAAATGAATAAAGAAAAAAACATTATAGTCAGTTAAATTAAAGTGCACTTAACATATGTTTCCTCATTACTTAATTCGCCTGAATACACTGAATTCATCTTCAGAGACCGAGCATTTTATGGTTGGTGAGGGGTGGGGAGAGAGACCCAAATAATTATTACGAATAAATTACGCACTCGTTTGTGGCGGATCTAGGAGGTAATCAGAATGTTCGGCAAACTTACTAAACTGAGGTGATACCGGCATATTTTTCAGTCGTTTTAGAGTAGCATGGGAATATTTTCCGGTAGTAGATATTACAGATAGCCCTTCCCCCCCATATAGACGCCAACCGCGTTCGGCTCTCACTTTGACCACCTCCTCACAAGTCCCGTATCCACTTCAGTTCATAAACAGCTGCACTTGGCTCAGAAAAAGTTGAGTAATGGCCATGTAATATTTTTAGATATTTCAACCGAAAGAAATACAGATAAGACATTTTATCAAACAATAATTCTGCATCAAGCGCTTAAACAAAAAGAATACAGGATGTTTGACTATTGTTCATGTTGACGGCAGATGTAAATTAAAAATGAGGGCTGGTTTTTTTGTGACATCAATACATGAAAATTAAATGTGAAAAATGCAATATTGTGTTTAGAATATGAAAGACTTTAGCCTGTGAGGCTCAGAAAATAAAGAACGAATGAAAAACAACGATTCGGCAAATAACAGGACCATAAATTTATTTCGTCCAGAGGTAAAGAGTAGTTTGCAAATGAGCGGTGTCAAAAACAGTCAGGAATTGAATTAGTTTCCCTTCACATCGTTAAGTGATTGGTCAAGAGTTTTGCTCCATCTGTCAGCTACTCGAAGCAATTAGGGCCAGTCGCAACTTTACTAATAGATAAATAAAATGATCTTCCTTAATTTTTCTCTCTAAATCATATGCATGTTAAAGTTTGTCCTCTGTTGCAAATAGGGAATGTTGAGTTCAGGTTGTAATGAAAAATTCTTGTTTTCCCGTCACCATATTTCCACCGACAGTGTAGCTCATTGTCTGCATATAAACCTACACACAACCCACAACTCCTCCAATCGCTCTGACAAAGGGCTAACGCTCAAATTGTCAGCCTTTGCACTCTTTACGGTGGCCAATTTACGTTTTCATCTCAGTTGTTAATACTAAATTAACTATAAACAAAAATATATATATATATACATACAAATTAAATGAAAAATTAATATGAAATAAGAAATTAAATTATCTTTAGAAAGGTTGAAAGAAATTGTTCTTTGCCTTGTGATGGATCTGTTCAGGGAGATCTGAGGAATCTGGGCATTCCATGTCGATCGATTAGTGACAACTTACTCTAGTGATAATTTCCATAAGAGCTTTAACTTTATGTATGTTCCCCATGAACTGCCCGTTCAAATCGGAGTTGTGACAATCGTTAAACCACCATCCCCCGGTCAGGTCATTTGAGCAGCTTCCCGTCTTCCACATGTCGTTATCCTTGTCTCTGGTGCTGAACATCATGTTGTTATGGTAACTCAACGAATCCCCGGATGTACCATTGTAACCGATGACCGTGATCTTGTAGTTGTTCTTTTCGTTGTCCACCTTGAACATGTTGTAGTGAGCGAAAACTTTCTTTCCACTCCAATCCTCCAGCTCGATTGGCAGCAACATCTTATTTGCTGCGGTAATACGATGAATTTTGTAATTTCCTGGCCAGAAATTCTTCCCAAAGTCTCCAAAGCCTGATCTATAGTAATTCCAGGTGCGATGGAAGCTGACAGATGCATGCTGTCGCCTTTGGAACACAATCCATCCTCAACTGTCTGTTGCTAGGTCGCAATACACCTCAAACTCTGTTTTTTTGTCAGAGTTTATTGTATAAACACCACTAGTGTTGTAGCCAGCATAAAGGATATCATTGCATCCTTTCACTACACAAACCAAGAATTGAATTGTGCTTTGTGCTGAGTGGGAGGGCCGGACGAAAATATTTAGCTTGAGGTAATAACCAACGGACCGAGCGCAGAAAGGTCACTGCGTCGTGACCATGAGGCAAATGATAAAGATGGGGGCGAATTGGTTATATTAGATGAAGAGGCGAACTTTTCTTGATGGGGGCGAACTGGAAGGCGGCGAACTCGGGATGGGGCGACACCTCTGTGAACCACACCGTCCTAAACGGTATGTAGTACTCGTGAAATAATGACAGCGCACTTACGAGGTCTGTTAATTACAGAAAAAGTTAAGGCTTCCACTTTCAAGGAAGTCGTCACTATGCTTGAATAGCAAACTTTCCAACTTTTTTGCGGCGGAAGGGGGACGCACGGACATTGTTTCATGAAGCCTTTTCTTTTTTTGCACCTCTTTGTGTACACTTCCAAAGTCTCCAAGTTACACAAGGCGACAACAAAGGAAATATATAGGAGACCACTTACTTTGTGGAGGCTGAACACACAGCTTCTGACAAGAATCCGAACAGCATTTCATTTCACAAAAACAATCTGAATCCATAGTACACTCGTTATCAGTCTTATTTCCGCAATCTTCGACCGGGAGGGGAATGACCCAAATGCCTTCCTTCAAACCCTCTAAAAGTAAATGAGTAGTTTTTTAAAGGGCTTCTTTAAACTTAGCCAAGAATTTTAAAGATGGTCAATTAAAAGAGGCGCAAATCCACACAACCCTCAAACACATTGAGAAATTTTAGGTTTATCTTTTCTTTTGGTTGTTTTTCTATCTTCCTTAACATGTATTGTGATTAAAGAGGGTAAGTTTCTAAAGAAACTGTGGTGCTGCGACGGTGGGAGAGTATAACAGGGTAATTTAGTATTATCAACTGGGTTAATAACGTAAAATGGCCACCGTAAAAAGTTTTAAAGCTGACGTTTCGAGCGTTAGCCCTTCGTCAGAGCGATTTACGTGTTTCAAGAAGGTTGTCGTTAAAAACGATTCAAAATACCCGTGCATAGTAGAATTAAGATGGTATTGAAAATTCTGCCAGATGCTCAGACAACAAAAAATAAAACATGGAAAAAGCGATCAAAACGAATCAAATGAATTCGGCTAAAGGACATCAGATGGCCTCTTAATAAAAGTAAGGCGCTAAGAAATGTTATTACGGGATATCCCAATAATTGCCATAATTCCTATTACTAAAATTCAGATGCGCATTGTTTGCTACTCGAGTGGATGAAATTCCATATGAGGTACATCTTTGATCAAATCTCACTAGACATAGTAACAGATCAGAGATGAAGTCATACTTTATGTAACATCCTGTGGTTTATTACTGTACAGACTCACAGCAACATGGAATCCATTTGTAATATTTGATAAAAAAAGAAAAAGATTGTTCGTGGAGACGTCATCTTTGTGTCCGTCCTCTAGTAAATCATAAGTGAGAACCATGATGCGTGAGGTAATCATCTTGCTACATTAACAAAATTGGAGAAACCAGATTTATGTAGGTGAGACAAACTCCTCTCAAAGGAAAACAAAAGGCAGCCTCCCATATAGTTTAGGAATTCCAATTAAATAAACGTCCTAATTACTCTGCATCACAGCGAGATTCACTTCCAACTAAAAAAGGTGAAAGTTGAGGCTAAAATTTTCAAAATGGACAAACCGTCTGAGTTAAAGGCGTAGAGATCCTTTTACTTTGTGTAATTAGCATTAAATGTATAACCGTCTTTCTTTCCCTGAGTAGATAAGTGCACGGGTTGTTATTGACAAGGTTAAGACTTTTAGTCGAATGGACAACCATCAAGTCTAGTCGACTTAATATTATTCTTTATATCAGAAACCGCTCAACTGAATTCTAAAAGTCTATGTGTGATCGCAAGAAAGTAAAGGCTCTATCTAAACAGGGTTACATTTTTTCGCAGTAAAAACACTGATGAACTCGTGGCCCTTATTACACTATAAAGCGACCTAAAAATTGGTTTTGTATTTAATTCACAAGCTATACACTTCACAAGGCTATAAATTTATTATCCTATCGACGAATAAAAATACATACATTAATTGATGACAACCTTAAAATCATATTTCAAGTAAGAAGGAAGCTTTCTGGTTATTTATAAATTTCTCATACAAAATGCGCTTAAAACTAGCAACTGATACTTTCTTACGCTTGACTCTGTAGTGCTCTATTGTGTAATTTTCCCAACCGCTAAAGTTCTTGGTCTCTCAGTTGTCCTTGACAAATCAAGCTTGCGATGACCGAGGCTCTTATCTTATGCATTGTGAATTGGCATCAGAAACGAACTATTCTCTGAACCGATTGACGATGCCTCGCATTATGTCCATGCGAGTGCGACGAATGGGTCCCATCTTCCAGCAGTATATAACAGGGTTGAGGAAAACCAAAGTCGTTATATAGTGCCAAGCTTCGTGTAAAGCGATTAAACTTAAAGGACGAGCCAGAAACAAAAACAAAAGAATATTAGAAGGCAAATAACAAGGCAAAAACACAATACATACGTAAAATGTTCCAAGAGCTGACTTACTAAGCTTCAAAAAGTTTGATAAGTCGCCATTTTGAACTCCCTGTTGTGCTTCTTGGATTTGAAGGTCTTGAATCTGGTTTTTGTGTCGCTTTAAGACTATATAAATCCTCCAGTAGACAATTACCACCAGAATGAAGCAAACAGTCATAATCACCAACCTTATGACTTGAGAAATGATAAACAATGGAGCCCAAAAGAGATCAGAACAAATAACTGCGCTAAACAGCCATTTTAAAATCACCGCTGCAATCACGCGCTTGTGAGTCACAAGCTCTTGATATCTGAGATGAAGGTGAACAGCTAAGAACCTGTCCACACTTATGGTTACAACATTCAAGAGCGAGGATATACAAAAGAAATTCATAGCGGCCAACAATATTTTGTAGGAAATGCAGTCGATACGTTTTTTATTTAACCGGCTGACCAAAGTAGAAATGTAGAGTGGTTGGACCAACAAACCAACCCCAACATCGGAGGCAGCCAGGCTTAGTAATAATGTTCTCAAAGGTTTTGGCAACAACGCGGTTTTCCTTATCGCATGGATGGTAACGATGTTCAAAATGATGGTTGTATAAGACAAAAAGCTGTTGAAGACACAATTAGCGACAAGCACCGGACGAAAATCTTTAACATCCAAAGAAAAGCTTGTTGAGATAGTCGCAAACGTTTTCAGCCATGAGATCTGAGCGTTAAAACTACGGTGGCCCTGATATTTTCCGATTATAAAAATGGAAAATTTTAAGTCATATGTAGATGTCAGTCACGAGCACAAAACACCATCGAAGCCATCTGTACGTACATTCAAGATGTCTTCATCTCTGGCATTTAAATTTTTGAAAAAAGCATCGAGTATCGCTTTAACTCGGCGTTAGTTAGAACTAAAACAAATTATTTTTTTAATGCTTCAAGACATTTTAACTAAACATGAGATTTATACCTGAAAAATGTTATTTGAAGGAAGGCTGTCATTAACATATTTTTGATCTATCAAAATGAATAAACGAAACATTATAGTCAGTTAAATTAAAGAGCGCTTGACAGATGCTACTTTATTATTAAATTCGCATGAATACACTGAATACATCTTCAGAGACCGAGCATTTTATGGTTGATGAGGGGTGGGGAGAGAGACCCAAATAATTATAACGAAGAAATTACGCACTCGTTTATGGCGGATCTAGGAGGTAATCAGAATGTTCGGCAAACTTACTAAACTGAGATAATACCTACATATTTTCAGTCGTTTTAGAGTAGCTTGGGAATATTTTACGGTAATAGATATTACAGATAGCCCTTTCCCACCTTAAAGACGCCAACCGCGTTCTGCTCTCACTTTAACCACCTGCTCACATGTCCCGGATCCACTTCAGTTTATGAAAAGCTGCACTTAGCTCAGGAAAAGTTTAGCAATGGTCATGTAATATTTTTAGATATTTCAACCGAAAGAAATACAGATAAGACATTTTATCAAACAATAATTCTGCATCAAGCGCTTAAACAAAAAGAATACAGGAAGTTTGACTATTGTTCATGTTGACGGCAGATGTAAATTAAAAATGAGGGCTGGCTTTTTTTGTGACATCAATAGATATAAATTTAGTGTGTAAAATGCGCTGGAAACTAACAACTGATACTTTCTTATGCTTGACCCTATAGTACCTCATTGCGTAGTTTTCATAACCGTTGAATTTCATCCTCCCTCAGTTTTCCTTAAGCACTTTCGACAAATCAAGTTTAATTTGACGATGGCTGAGGCTCTTATCCCATGCATTGTAAATTGACATCAGAAACGAACCCAACCAATGTGTTACGGTATAATCAAACCGAAAGAAAAACACAGCAATCCTACAAACTCAACTACTATATGAAACAATAATTCTTGATAAGGAGTGACTCTTAAAGGCAGTACAGTATTTATGCTCCATAAACTTACTTAAGCCCACTACAGTCTATATCTTAGCACGCTACTGAGCAGAGCTCACAGTTTCCTCCAACTTTTCTTGAAATTAGCAATCTTGAACTGTAGCTCTCTCTCACGGTATAGCTTTCTAAACACTCGGTCACTCCTAACAACAACAACGACTACTACTACTACATAATTGGGTCGTTATATACATTCACAAGGTCTTCGGGAACATTCCAGAAGCTTACAAAAGAACATATTTCAATAATATTACGTAATAATTGCTTGACTTGATGAAATCTTTTAGAAAGTTCTATGATACGCATGTCAGCATGACCAAGCAGCCTGGAGACTTCTAGAAGCTTATATCTGCAACAACAATAACTTATAACAAATGTTATTCTCTGAACCGATTGACGATGCTTCGCATTATGTCCATGAGAGTGCGACGAATGGGTCCCATCTTCCAGCAGTATATAACAGGGTTCAAAGACGAGTTGAGGAAAAACAAAGTAATTGTATAGGGCGAAGCTTCGTAATAGGAGATTGGACTTAAAAGGCGAGCCAGGAGTAAAAAAGAGAGAATATAGGAAGGCAAATAACAAATCAAGAACACAATACATACATAAAATGTTCCAAGAGCTGACTTTCGAAGCCTCAAAAAGTTTGATAAGTCGCCATTTTGAACTTCCTGTTGTACTTCTTGGATTTGAAGGCCTTCAATCTGGTTTTTGTGTCGCTTTAAGACTATATAAATCCTCCAGTAGACAATTACTACTAAAATGAGGCAAACTGTCATAATCACGAGCCAAATGACTCGTGAGATAATAAACAATGAATCCCAAAAGACACCAAAAGAAGTAATTGCGCTAAACAGCCATATTGATATCACCGCTGCAATGACGCGCTTGTGGGTCACACGTTCTTGATATCTGAGATGAAGATGAACAGCTAAGAACCTATCCACACTTATGGTTACAACATTCAAGAGCGAGGATATACAAAAGAAAGCGATGACGGCCAACAATCCCTTGTAGGAAGTGCAGTCGATACGTTTTTGTTTTAACCGGCTGACCAAAGTAGAAATATAGAGTGGCTGTGCCAACAAACCAACCCCAACATCGGAGGCAGCCAGGCTCAGTAATAATGTTCTCAAAGGTTTTGGCAACAACGCGGTTTTCCTTATCGCATGGATGGTAACGATGTTCAAAATGATGGTTGTATAAGACAAACAGCTGTTGAAGACACCAGGAGCGACAAGTGCCGGACGAAAATCTTCAACACCCGCAGAGGTTCCAAAGAAAGACTTGTTGAGAAGGTCGCAAACGTTTTCCGCCATGAGAGCCGAGCTAATATTTTCCGGTTCTAAAACGGAAAATTTGAAGTCATATGTAGCTGTCAATTACGAGGATAGAACACAATCGAAGCCATCTGCACGTACATTCAAGATGTCTTCAACTCTGCGGAATTTGAATTTTTGAAAGTAAAGAGTACCGCTTTAACTCGGCGTTGGTTAGAACTCAAACAAATTATCTGTTTGATGCTTCTAGACATTTTAACTAAACATGGCATTTCGAAGGAAGGCTGTCATTAACATATTTTTCACTATCAAAATAAATAAACGAAACATTATAGTCAGTTAAATGAAAGAGTGCTTGACATATGTTTCTTCATTATTAAATTCGCCTGGATACACTGAATTCATCTTCAGAGACCGAATATTTTATGGTTGGTGAGGGGTGGGGAGAGAGACCCAAATAATTATTACGAATAAATTACGCACTCGTTTGCGGCGGATCTAAGAGGTAATAAAAATGTTCGCAACCTCACTAAACTGAGATAATACCGGCATATTTTTCAGTCGTTTTAGAGTAGCTTGGGAATATTTTCAGGTGGTGGATCATTTCAGATAGCCCTCACCCCCTATAGACGACCGCGTTCGGCTCTCACTTCGACCACCTCCTCACAAGTCCCGGATCCACTTCAGTTCATAAACAGCTGCACTTAGCTCAGAAAAAGTTTAGCAATGACCATGTAATACTTTTACATATTTCAACCAAAAGAAATACAGATAAGACATTTTATCAAACAATAATTCTGCATCAAGCGCTCAAACAAAAGGAATACAGGAAGTTTGACTATTGTTTATGCTGACGGCAGTTGTAAATTGATGGCTGACTTTTTTGTGACATCAATAGATAGCCTATTAGGGTCAGAAAGTAAAGAACGAATGAGAAACAACGAGTCGGCAAATAACAGGACCATAAATTTATTTCGTCCAGAGGTAAAGAGTAGTTTGCAAATGAGCGGTGTCAAAAACAGTCAGGAATTGTATTAGTTTCACTTTACATCGTAAAGTGATTGGTCAAGAGTTTCGCTCCATCTGTTAGCTACCCCAAAGCAATTAGAGCCAGTCGCGACTTTACTAATAAATAAACAAAATGACTTTCCTTAATTTTTCTCTCTAAATAATCTGCTGGTTAAAGTTTGTCCATTGTCGCATATAGAAAATGTTGAATTCAGGTTGTATTGAAAAAAGTGATTAATCTATGTTTTCAACTCCCTTGTTAGCACTAAATTACCTATATATACATGTATGTATATATATATATATACATACATACATACAAATAAATGCCAAAATTAATATGAAATAAGAAATTAAATGATCTCTCAAAAGGTTAAAATAAATTATTTTATAAGCAGCGTTTGAATTCTGTCAATGTCCTTTTCCACTTGAGTGACATGCCTAAGGAATTCCAAACTTTGACTTTTCTAAAATAAATTGTTCTTCGCCTTGTGTTGGATCTGTACAGGGAGATCTGAGGAATCTGGGCGTTCCTTGTCGATCGATTAGTGACAACTGACTTTCGTTACAATTTCTATAAGAGCGTTAACTTTATGCATCACAAATTTTTCTTATAATGGCAGAGAGAGATAAAGTGGATCTGAGCACGTGATTCGCAATCCAGATGCTAGCCAGCCTCCTCATGGGAGCGAGGTTGGAGTCTGACGTCATGCTTTGTTCATAGCCAACTGGTCTTCCACCGACTGGAGTTATTAAGAAGCAACGTTTTGTAATTTGAGGTCTCTTCAGCTAAGTGTTTGTTTGCTGGGCTAGTCAAACACTGAAAAAAGTTTCAATATACCAAAAAAAAAAACCGAGGATAGACAAGAACAGCGGTGATTGCCGCGGGGTACAATTAAAAAGATGAAATTGGTGATAACTTTTTAAAAAAAACGGACTAACCGTCTGAATGAAAGGGGTAGAGCTCCTTATACTTTTTGTTACTAGCATAAAATGTATAACCTTCTGTCTTTCCCTAAGTAAGTAAGTGAGTGCCCGGGTTACTATTGACAAGGTTGAGACGTTTAGTCGAACGGAGAACCGTCAAGTCTAGTCGACTTAATATTATTCTTTACATCAGAAAATGCCAAACTAAATTCTGGAAGTCTGTGTGTGATCGCAAGCAAGTAGCGGCTTTATTCGGAGAGGGTTACATTTAATTGTAGTTAAAACACTGATGAGTTCGGGACCCTTATTAAAGCGACCTAAAAATCGGTTTTGTATTTAATTCACAAGCTATACACTCAACATGGTTAAAAGTTTACGATCCTATCGCCAAGTACAAATATATACATTAATTGATGACAACCTTAAAATCATATTTAGAGTAGAGAGGAAGCTTTCTGGTTATTTTTAAATGTCTTACACAAATGTTCTTGAAACTAGTAACCGATACTTTCTCATGTTTGACTCTGTAGTACTCCATTGTGTAATTTTCCTAACCGTTATTTAAAGTTCGTCCTCCCTCAGTTTTCCTTAAGTACTTTTGACAAATCAAGTTTGATTTTACCATGATCGAAGTTCTTATTCCATGCATTGTGAATTGGCATCAGAAACGAACCCAGCCAATGCTATTCTCTGAACCGATTGACGATGCCTCGCATTATGTCTATGAGTGTGCGACGAATGGGTCCCATCTTCCAGCAGTATATAAGAGGTTTCAAAGACGAGTTGAGGAAAAATAAAGTCAGTACATAGAACCGAGTTTCATATAAAGAGATTAGACTTATAGGGCGAGCCAGGAGTAAAAAATGGAGAATATTGCAAGGCAAATAACAAATCAAGAACAAAATACATACAAAAAGTGTTCCAAGAGCTGACTTTCGAAGCTTCAAAAAGTTTGGTAAGTCGCCATTTTGAACTCCCTGTTGTACTTCTTGGATTTGAAGGCTTTCAATCTGGATTTTGTGTCGCTTTAAGACTCTATAAATCCTCCAGTACACAATTACTACCAGAATGAAGGAAACAGTCATAATCACGACCCCAATGACTTCTGAGCTGATAAGCAATGGATCCCAAAAGACACTAGAAGAAATGACTGCGCTAAACAGCCATATTAATATCACCGCTGCAATGACGCGCTTGTGAGTCACAAGCTCTTGATATCTGAGATGAAGATGAACGGCTAAGAACCTGTCCACACTTATAGTTACTATATTTAAGAGCGAGGATGTACAAAAGAAAGTGATTGCGGCCAACAATCCCTTGTAGGAAATGCAGTCGATACGTTTCTGTTTTAACCGGCTGACCAAAGTATATATGTAGAAAGGTTGAACCAACAAACCAGCGCCAACATCGGAGGCAGCCAGGCTTAGTAATAAAGTTCTCAAAGGTTTTGGCAACAACGCAGTTTTCCTTATCATATGGATGGTAATAATGTTCAAAAAGATGTTTGTATAAGACATAAAGCTGTTGAAGACACAGTTAGCGACAAGCGCCGGACGAAAATCTTCAACATCCGCGGAGGTTCCATAGAAAGACTTGTTGAGAATGGTGCAAACGTTTTCCTCCATGACAACTGAGCGCTAAAACTACAGTGGCTCTGATATTTTCCGATTTTAAGACGGAAAATTTTAGTCATATGTAGCTGTCAGTCACAAGCATAGAACACAATCGAAGCCATCTGTACGTACATTCAAGATGTCTTCAACTCTGCGGCATTTGAATTTTTGAAAAAAGCATCCAGTACCGCTTTAACTCGGCGTTGGTTAGAACTAAAACAAATCATTTGTTTGATGCTTCAAGACATTTTAAATAAACATGGCATTTATACCAGAAAAAAGTTATTCGAAGGAAGGCTATCATTAACATATTTTTCATCTATCAAAATGAATAACGAAACATTATAGTCAGTTAAATTAAAGTGTTTGACATATGCTTCTTTATTATTAAATTCGTCTGAATACACTGAAAACATCTTCAGAGACCGAGCTTTTTATGGTTGGTGAGGGGTGGGGAGAGAGACCCAAATAATTATTACGAATAAACAACGCATTTGTTTGTGGCGGATCTTGGAGGTTTACAGAATGTTGGGCAAATTTACTTAACTGAGATAATACCGGCATATTTTTCAGTCGTTTTAGAGTAGCTTCTCAGGAATATTTTCAGGTGGTGGATTATTTCCAGATAGCCCTCCCTCCCCCCTCATAGACGACCGCGTTCGGCTCTCACTTTGATCACCTCCTCACAAGTCCCGGATCCACTTTAGCTCATAAACAATACTAAGCTCAGAAAAAGTCTTGCAAAGGCCAGGTAATATTTTGACATTTTATCAAAGAATAATTCTGCACTAAGCGCTTAAACGAAAAGAATACAGGAAGTTTGACTATTGTTCATGTTGGCGGCAGATGTAAATTAAAAATGAGGGCTGGTATTTTTGTAACATTAATACATGTAAATTAGAGGTGGAAAATGCGATATTGTGTTTGCATATGGAAGACTTTAGCCTGTTAGCGTCAGTAAGTAAAGAAAGAATAAAAAAACATCGAATCGACAAATGACAGGAGTATAAATTTATTTCGTCGAGAAATAAAAAGAAGTCTACAAATGAGCGGTGTCAGGGATTATAGTAGTTTCGGTTTACATCGTAAAGTGATTGGTCAAGAATTTTGCTCCATCTGTCAGCTACTCGGAAGCAAATTAAAGCCAGTCGCCACTTTGTTAATAAATCAACAAAATGATTCTCCTAAATTTTTCTCTCTAAATAATCTCCTGGTTGAAGTTTGTCCACTATTGCAAATAGAGAATCTTGAATTCAGGTTGTATTGAAAAAGCAGCACCCTGAAATTGTGTAGATAAGTCAGAATACTCCATTTAAATTTTGTGTCATTATACTTGACGAAGACTGTTGTCACGAGGTTCTGTATGTTATGCAACCATATATATGTGTGTGCAATCATATAAATGCAAATGGTACTGTTTGCAATTAGGTGAGAAGGGATTCCTATCATTACGCCTGTAAATAAGACGCATTCAAACGAAGGGTGCTGAGTTTTTTTTTAATCTACTGTCCCAGGTGATTCTAGCTTGGTGTGGATGACAATCTAGTGTTTGACCATTTAAATGAAAGCTACGGCGTAGTACTTTAATGAGGTACAGTTTATTATGCGGCACAATTATGGTTCTGGCCTTAACAGTACTTCCATGTTTACTGTTTATAAAGAACCACTAATTAATTCCAAATTTAAAGTCTATCGATGAAACTCTAGCGTTTGACCATTCAAATGAAAGCCACCGAGAAGTTTTTTCATGCGTTTCAGTTCATTATATCCTTCAAGGTGGTTTTGACCACAAACCTTTGAGTTAAGCGGGCCGTAGAGTGATAGACAGAAATAAATTGACCAATCATAGCCCACTTACTAACCGAGAGATATAATAATTTTAGTTATCTAAAGCGGGGCATAACGGTTTATGTTTATGTTTCTGAACGAAACAGTTACGCCTTTCAATTTTTTGTAACAAATACTTTATAAAAATTGCTTCACGAATTTGTGCGAAAAAGATTTGTTTAAATCGAACCCAGCCAATACCACTATAAGCTTTTGTGTTCCCCATGAACTGCCCGTTCAAATTGGAGTTGTGACAATCGTTAAACCGCCATCCCCCAGTCAGGTCATTTGAGCAGCTTTTCGGTGAACTGGAAGGCGGCCAACTTGCAATAGAGCGACATCTCTGAAAATCACAACATCAACTGAACGGTATGGTGTAATCGTGATATAATAACGGCGCACCTAGGAGGTCTGTTAAAAACAGAAAGAGTTAAGGCTTGCACTTTTAAAGAAGTCATCACTATGCTTGAGTAGCAAGCTTTCCGACTTTTTCCCCGGGGGGAGGGGGGGCAGGACAAGTCTCTTTGCAACTACAATGACTTGAAATAAAATGACGAGGCTTCTTTGGAAAAAAAGAAAAAACGTGACGAAAAGTTTTTCCTCTCTTTCCTTATCTCAGGTTTTTTCAGTATGTTATTAAAGTAAACAGCTGTTGTCTTTTCTTTCTAATCTCTCGAGCGTTTCTTATAACGATGCCCTTTTCGTTAATTTGAATACCAAACATGAAGATTTGACGAATACTAAAAGTGATATGACTGCATGCAATTATTCAAATCAACGCAAATGGCATTGTCAGTAACTCTAGAATGAAAACAAAATACAACAGCTGTCAACTTCGAATTCATACGTCGAGCGTGACACAAAACCGGTACGACTAAGGGTAATATTTCGCAGTCTCTTCACTTCACTCAAAGTACATCGCCTCATTATTTTATCAAGAGAAATTTCGAAGACATTCTATCCTGTAACTTTCTAGATAATAAGATCTACCTTCGAGTTAGTGTCCACGAAGTGTAATATTAAAGAGTACTCTTGATTCCCCAAGCCGCACCACGTCATTGATAGCAGGAACTGTTTTCAAATTAAGTACAAAAGTTAAGAGTATATTACAAGTTAATCTAAAGAAAAGCGGATATAACTCATTCAATTCAACTGATTTCAGAGCTCTTTTTGTTAACAGTGTAATAGCACAGCTGATAAATCACTGATAAACATAGGGGCATCATAACTTTAAAATGGCTGCATTTGATTGGCTGAGGTACTCTTTGGGTGTTTTTTTTTTCAATATATAATTTTCAATACCTTTGTGAATCATTTTATATGAAAAAAGATACTTCGTTCTGTTTTTCGTCAAAAGATATTTCGTATACCTCAGAGGAGCTTCTTTTCCAGTTTCAGGCAGTTTAACACGACATTAATATTGTGGGTCGACATTAATTAATCGCCATTATCTCTGCATAATATCTCTCTCAGCTCGATTGACACAAATGACCACCTCCTTGTATCAAAAATAGCCTTCAAGTGAAATTTTTTCTTTCGAGCGATAATCTTTGTCCCAACACACTTACTAAGAAAGCAGTTGAACGCTAGATCATCATGGCTGAATCAAACTGTGGAATATTACTCAAGAGTTACCCCAAAATCTCCGAGTTTGAAAATCTCATTTTTTATCGTAAACTGTGTTTTCAACAGTTTCATCCGCTACACAGCAACCATGTTAAACTTTGCCACAATCTATGTGCAAAAACGTCTGCGTAGCCGAAACCTTTCAAAAGTGATCCACTTCAGTTCATGAACACCCGCACTTAGCTCAGATACGACATTTTATCAAACAATAATTCTGAATCAAGCGCTTAAACGATGTAAATTAAATGAGGGTTGGTCTAAAAATTGTGCGCATAAGAATACTCCATCTGAATCTTGTGCCACTATACTAGACCAAAAGTGTTATGTGGTGCTATATATTATGCAACCATCTATATGTGCAATCATATGAATGCAGACGACTAGGTGACCGATTCCGAGAACACCTTCGCAACGTAGAAAGAAATGACAGGGACGCATCCAAACCAGTCGCTAAACACTCTAATCTCCCTAAGTATTCTATAGAACATGTGGCAGTTTCTGGCCTTTCCCTACATTTAGGCAGCTCGGAAAGGCACAAAACACTAGAACAAAAATTTATCTTCCAAATCGGCACTCTTAATCCCCACGCTATCAACGAGTGCTTTTCATTCAACTAATTTATTTTTGTTTTCTCGTCACCATATTCCCATCAATAGCAGGGTTCTCCCTAGTTTTCAGCACAACAGGTAAGGGACCTTTTCAAACCAGTAAAGCACATTTGCAGCTTCATGCGGCTGATCATTCTCAACTTTGTCATTTCCTAAAGCATACAGTTCATCGCGCCTATCAAAAATTCTCCATCGAAAAATTCATAATGTGAACGATACACCTTTATGTTCAGAGGTTGAACAAAACAAAGTAAAATTTTGTTTAAAAGCATTATATTTGACTATGCCCTTTCCAAACTGCTTATAACGTAATGTTTGAATTCTGTCAATGTCCTTTTCCACTTGAGTGACAGGTCTAAGGAATTCCAAAGTTTGACATTCCTAAATCAAACTGTTCTATGTTCTGTGATGGATCTGTACAGGGAGATCTGAGGAATCTGGGCGTTCCCTGTGGATCGATCTGTAACAACTGACTTTAGTGAAAATTTCCAAAAGTGCGTTAACTTTATGCATCACTAATTTTCTCTTATAATGACAGAGAGAACTAAAGTGGGCCTTAACGCTTAATTTGCAATCCGGATGTCTGTGGCCTGACTCTAGCCAGCCTCCTCCTGGGAGCAAGTTTGGAGTCTGACGTCATGGTTTGTACATAGCCAACTGGTCTTCCGCCGACTGAAGTTAGTGAGAAGCTACGTCATGGAATTTGAGGTCTTTTCTCACAAAAAAAAGCAAGGATGGCCGAGAACATTGATTGATTGGTGCAAGGTACAATTAAAAAAATGTGAAAATTAATACTAAATTTTTCAAAACGGACTAAATGTCTG